TAATAATAATAATAATAATAATAATAATAATAATAATAATAATAATAAGTTTTCTTTTCCCCTATCTATTTATTCATCAATTATTGATTATTATACTTACCAACGTTTTGAGATACTGATAACTTCTCTGCGGGACGTTTCATGTCACTTATACCTGCTATAACCAACCCCTTTTTTTTATTATCAATTAAAGAAAAATTTATGATCAGTCAAGAATTCAATTTAATTGATCTGGAAGAAATTTTAAAAATGACAGTAATATTATTATTGTTATTGTTATTTTGCTGTTATATATAAAAAAAACCAACCCATTTAAACGCTGGTGCCCAAAAATGAACAGTTTTTGGACCTGTTGGGAATAATAATAATGTTATATATGTGTGTTAAAGAAAATTGGCGAATGAATAAATTGACATTTTTTTATAGATCATGCAATTGTAGAAGTCTAGAAATATAAATAAAAAGTAAATAAATAAAATAGGAACGTACCTGCTTCATGATTAAGAAAACTTTTAAATTTACTTGCTAACATATTACTACTCGAAGACATTTTTTTTATTTATTGTATTAATAAAATTTTGTATGAATTTTAATATTAATGAATTTATGAATTTTATATCTTCAGTTCTGATTGGCTGAAGAATTTCAGCTAAAAGGTAAGAAAGATTAATTCAGCATATTATCTTTTTTTTTTCAATGTCAAAATTTAATCCTTTATGTACAATTATTGTTACAATAATTGAAGGTAAAAAAGAAAGAAGTTTATTATAACTAAAAAATTGATTAATTATTTAAATCAATTATTATTTTCTTGATTAATTAAATAAATGAATAATTCATCAATCCACATCCATCTATATATCCATTCACACAATTATACATTTATCTGTTACTAGGTAAATATTTTCCACAAAATCCTAACGCAAAACTTTTTGTTGAATGTAGATTTACAGATGAAGTATTATCAACAATAAGCCCTGATTCAAATTCAATCTTATCGACTGATTCTGTTGATCAAAGTTCTTTTCCAATATGGGACACTGAACTTGCATGGGAAGTTGATCAAAAAACTCTACATACTTTACGTTTACAATGGGCGCATTTGAAATTACAATGTTTTTCCACGACTACTACAACTACAACTATAGATTCATCATCAACAACAGCAGCAGCAGCAGCAGCAGTAGCAACGCCATCCAGTGATAAAACTGAGTTAATTGGTTATTCAATGTTGGACTTAAGAGCTGCTGCTGACAGGCCTGGGAAAGAGAAATGGATCTCCCTATTAAATTCTAGATCTCATGGATTACCTCCCGAAATAAAAATAAGTTTTTGTATTTTGTCAAATATATCTCCCCCATCTACTCCCATTACTACTAATTATGTGGCTAGCCCAATACCGAGTAAATTTGTGGGTGATATACCATTATTATCAACACAATCACCAACACTACCATCACCATTACCATCATCATCATCGTTATTAAATACAACTTTACAAAAATCTTTAACAACAAACATTAATAATCATAATAACAGTAATAACAATAATGATTTTATTAATGATGATGATAATAATAATAATACTGATGTTAAAGATTATTATAAAATTGGCAAAAATGGAAAAGATTTATTTCTGGATTACCTCCCGAAATAAAAATAAGTTTTTGTATTTTGTCAAATATATCTCCCCCATCTACTCCCATTACTACTAATTATGTGGCTAGCCCAATACCGAGTAAATTTGTGGGTGATATACCATTATTATCAACACAATCACCAACACTACCATCACCATTACCATCATCATCATCGTTATTAAATACAACTTTACAAAAATCTTTAACAACAAACATTAATAATCATAATAACAGTAATAACAATAATGATTTTATTAATGATGATGATAATAATAATAATACTGATGTTAAAGATTATTATAAAATTGGCAAAAATGGAAAAGATTTATTTCATTTTTCTATAACAATAAATTTTGGGGCTAATCTTCAATTATTATTATTACAAGATTGTATCGCGTCATTTCTTTCACAACAACATCAACAATTTCCTGATCTTGACAATGATGACGGCCTCTCATCACCATCATCGTCAACTTCAACTGCAACAGCAACTTTGAATCACCATGACGGTTACTTTTTTCAATATACAATTTTAGATGCTACAGTAACATCAAATAAATTTTATGATCTTGCACATCCTAATATTAGACCTGAGACCACAACATTTAAAATTCAATCTTCACCAGAAGAATTAAAAGATTTTATGATTCAAGAAAAAAATAAATTGGCGATTTATTTATATTATTATATAAACAATAACAACAACAATAATAATAATCAAATGATGGTTGGTTTTACTGATATACCATTGACAGGTTTATTTGATTCTAAAACTGGTGAACCTCGTTCTCTGGATAGGGTTTGTCCTATGTATAATGCTAAAAGAGAAATGCCCGTTTCTGCTGATGTACAAACTGCTAGAATCGGACTTTTTCTTACTATAAAACGGATTGAGAATGATAATAATAACTTCAATCATGTTAATGATGTTAATAGCTACAATTTATCATCATCGTCATCGTCACCATCATCGTCACCATCATCATCCTTGGCAACAACAGTTTTAAATGGTAATAGTAATAATAATAACATTAATAGCACCAACAGCATTAATAGTGATCATATAAAAACAAATTCCTCATCGGCTATTTCAGACAAGATTAGAACCTTTTCATTGGGCAATAATAATAATGTTATCCGTGAACAAAATAATGAACATAAATTTCGAGTTGTAATTGATTTGGAATCCATTAACCTAAACAAATCATTCAAAAACATTTATATTAAATATAGTTATCCATCTTTAGGAATAACGCATAATAAATTCACACAATCACATTCCCCTATTATCGAACCGAATCAAGATGTGAAATTGATTAGTGGCACCAATACGATTGACGTTACAATGACACATCAACGTCTACAAAGATACTTTGAAGTTGCGCCTTTGTTAATGGAAGTATGGCAACAACAACAGCAAACGCAAACTATAGTAGATCAAAAAAATGATATACAAATTGGAGTTGCAAATCTACGATTAGAGGAAGTATTTTTATCACAAACAACTAAAGATGAAGATGGTAAAGCCGATGTTAAAAAATTTAGCACTTTGGCTCCAATAAAATCTGTTGGTTTGACTACATCAAGAGAAATGGGACATATTAATGTTTCAATAAGACTTGATGATTACGGAGAAAAAGATCAAATCGAAAGAAGAAATAACAATAGCAGCAATAATAATAGCAATAGCAGTAACAGGAATAATAATAATAGATCTGAATTATATGATAATGATAATGATGATAATAATAATAATAATACTAATAATGATGATAATGATAATAACAATGATAATGAAAATAACGATAGTAATGATACTTCATCACAAGTTTCATTAAGTGAAAGCAACAACAACAACAACAACAACAATAATAATCCTTTCCGTACAGAAATATTTAAGCAAGCAGATGAACATATAAGATTTACTCAAAAAGTTCTTTCAGGAAATAAAAAAAATAGTAAAAAACTTGGTTTTGCAAAATTCAAAATACAACAATTGAAAGCAATAGATCAACAATTACAACAATCAATTCTTTATTTTCAAACAAGAGATGAAAGTCTACAACGTGGTGAGAAAGATATCAAATATCGATGGTTGGAACTTGATAGACAATTTGAAATGAAAAGAGCAGAATTGGAAAAAAATTATGAAAAAGAAAAACTATTAATAAAATCTAATGCGAATAATGAAGAATTGGTTAAAGATCTGAAAAAAGAAATCGAACAACTTAAGATTCAATTAAATTCTGAAACATTTGCTAAAAATCATTACGAATCACAATGGTTAAAATCATTACAGGTGATAGCAGGCACAGACGGTGATAACAATAATGGTGATGGTAATGATGATGAGAACTTGTTTTGGAATGAATTACAAGAGATTGATCAGTGCTGGTCGCAAGTTAGAAGAATGACTGAAGAAGAAACAGTGATTTTGAATCATGAAAAATTTGTTTTAAATATACTCAAAGAACAATTAAAAAAATTAAATGTTTAATTTAATTAATAATTTTTTATAATGCATATATATATATATATATAAATATATAATAATTAATATGCAAAAGAGAAAAAAAAATCATAACAAAATTATTGTAAATTATTTTTACGATTTTTATTTAATTTAATGTACATGAAATTTTTAAATCAACATTTTAGACATATAAGGACCTAAATATAATAAATAAATATATTAATAAATATTACTACCACTATTGTTATCTATTATATCTAATATAATACAATAATATTCACACTCACCATCCAATTCATAACCTAGTTTACTATAATATTTTCTGACTCCAACACCACTAATCACAGCCATTTTTTGACTACAATGTTCATATTTGGCAATACGTTCAGCCTCCTCCATCAACAAAGTGCCAAAACCCTGATGTTGAAATTTTATTGGATCACGACTATGCAATGGGACAACGCTACCATAAACATGTAATTCTCTTACTATACTAGTTGGCACTTTAGTTAATTCAGGTCTAAATGTTGTGTCAGGATTACATTTTCTTAGTCTTAATAAACCTATCAGAATGTCTTGTTTTGGATCTTCGTATGATAAAAATGTCTCCCAACCACCATTTGCCACATAATCTCTTCTAATCAATTCAACCTAAAGATAGTAATAATATTTTTAGTTGGCAACTAAATAATTAATTAGAATCGACCTATTCAGAGAAATACATATTACTTCTTCAGGTTTAACTTTATTATGTATATCCACTATACCAACTTCTCTTGTTCTAACATCTCTACATTCAATGCCTAAATCTTTCATTCTGTTCAATGCCAATTCTCTTAAATTACCATGTTCAACTCCTGATGTAACTAAAGGCATGGGAATATCTCTATTTATAATATAATATGTAAATATGTAAAATATATGATGGAATAATGTAATTATTGGTATTATATACATTACCTTTGAACCCTATAAATACGTGTCCAAGGAGGTTGGGAATATCTCTATTTATAATATAATATGTAAATATGTAAAATATATGATGGAATAATGTAATTATTGGTATTATATACATTACCTTTGAACCCTATAAATACGTGTCCAAGGAGGTACAAGAGCCAAAATTCTTGCTACAAGATCAATTAATGCATTAGGTGTATAATTTTTGTATCTACCAGTTCTCCATAATTCGTATAATCCTGTATATATATATAGGAGGGATTTTTAATTAAATTAAAATCAAACATGAATATGAAATAAAATATGTAAAACAAACCAGTTCCACGAATTACTAGTGTGGGATAGATTTTTAGCCCATCTGTTCTAAATGCAGGATTCTCAAAATATTCCTATTAATGAATTAATTAATTTAATAATAACTAAATAAATATCGATAATAAACAATTACCTAGCCAAATAAATTATTTGAAATGATAATTGTTTCTTTATAAACCTTAAATTGTTCTAGATCCCTTTCCATTCCAACATTCGGCAGATCAGGCATCATGTGCGAAACAACTTTAAATCCTGCATCTTTTGCCAATTGAAAAGTTTCCGTGACAGCTTTAACAGTATGACCTCTATTCGTATCTCTAGCAACATCTTCATATATGCTTTGAACTCCTATTTCTAATCTTGTGCATCCATATCTTAACATTTGACTAATTGGTAAATTAGTTTATATTGAATTATTTAATAAATAATGGATGAATTGAATTATTATTTAGAATGAATAATTAATATAGTTAAAAACCTTAAATGTGGTTTTAAACAATAGTCAGGTCTAGTTTCTATAGTTATGCCAATACATTTCATCATACTTTGTTCAGAATATCTTAATAATCATAATCATAATTAATTAATTAATATTCCTAAAATAACCAATTATTAAATAACAATACTATTATTATTATCATTGTTGTTGTTACAATTACTTGACAGATTCATCAACATCATTTGAAGTATGTCCAGATAATGCATTATGTAAATTAGAAATAAACCAACTTCTATAATCTTCTGATAACGACATGAATGTACCACCCATTATAATATATTCAACCTAATAATTAATTATAATGATTAATTAATTAAATATTCTTTTTTTATAAAACCCGAATTAATAATTAATGATTTTTTACTTTATCAACACTGTGTCCTAAACTTTTTAATTGATCAAGTCTACCCCTTGCTTGTTCTAATGGATCATATCTTGCTCTAATAGCTCTCATACTGGTTGGTTCATATCCTGTATAAGATTGTGTTGAATATTCAAAATCTGAATCTGGACCACCTGGACAATATCTTTTGTAATAATAATAATATTATTATTATGATTGTTATTATTATAAATAATTATTATAATACAGATTATCTTCAAAAGTTGCTTACACACAGACATTTCCTGTTACTGCAATATGAGGACATCTGTGTGGTTTACACATAACAGCCACAACGGCAATCTAAACAAATAAAGTTTATATATAGTTTCATTAATTAACAGGGTTGCTAATTAATTCATCAATTGATCTTTGTTTATGATACTTGCGCCAGATGCAGTCCTGACAGGTTTAGCCTTTAACTTTGGTAACAAAAAATTCTTATACTGATCAGGTATTGCAGATATAATATCAACCAATTTTGGTTGATTATTCAACTTGTTTAATCTTGAATACTTTGTTTTTAATCCATTCAAATTAATATCTTTTCCCTGTTCATGTGCTATTATTAATTCCTTAATTATTTCTGAACATGTTTTCACCATTAATTCTGCCTATATTTATATATAAATGTATGGATAGATAATGGATGTAATTAAAAGTTATATTTTATGAAATAGATAGAATTGATAAAAATCATAAATAAATCAAACAACAACAAACCTGACTTGGACCTATAAAAATAAAAATAATTGGTTGGTTGGTTTGTTGGTTAGATAAATAGGGAAATAATAAAAAAAAAAGTTTCTTGATTAAATTACCTTTCTTTTTAGATGACATTTTATATATGTATATGTATGTTAATTAATAGTAAACAAATAAAATCAAATAATTTTTTTGCACAGAACTTTTTTTCTCAGCAAAGAAAAACTGGGAGGGAACAAATGACGTAATTATTATTTCAGCAAGAACCCCCGAAAACCACTTTATCACCCTAATACTAACAAATATGTCAAATGAAAAATAAACACAAATTAGACTTGTCAAAATAGGATTCTATCACGTGAATAACAGCATTTTATTTATTCGTTGTAATCTCTCGAAAAAGCAAAAAACAAAAAAAAAACTATGTATAAAATTAAATAAATAGAAAGAAAATTCTCTCTTCTGTAGAAAGAAGAAAAGAAAAAGAACTTTGATTTTTTTTTTGAATAAACTAGAAAAAAGGTTCATATAAAAAAAGTTAATAACACGATCCGTCAGAAGTTTTTCCCGACTTTTTTTTTTCCCTCAAAAAAAAAGTCTAAACATTGTTATCTCATAAAAAACGTACATATTCCATAATCGCACATACATGAATATATCTATAGTAATGACTTTGCATATATTAAGATAGAAGTAACAAACTTAAGAGAGAAAAAGAATAAAGAGAAAAAGGAGAATAAAGAGAAAAAGAGAAGAAAGAGAAGAAAAAGATTTAAAGTGAAAACATAATTTTCTATTTCATATTAAATTCAACCTCCCTAAATCATATTTTAATAACTATCTTACACCAACTAATCGATCAATCACCAAGACTTTAACTCTGGTATTGATCAATCGATCGGATTTTGCGGTTTTCGTTAACCATCATAATTTGCAAAAAGTAAGCATTGGAAAAAACATCATTTCATTTTAATCAAAAAGGAGACGAAATTCGTTCGCTGGAATTTACAACAAATAACGATGTCGAAGATGTTAATATTATTTCTTTAAAAAATATTATTTCAATGATTTAAAAAAGAAAAAAAAAATAGAAAAACAACTTACAAATTATTGTTTGTAATGTTTAAAATACGATTCGAAAAAAAACTTAATGAATAATTATGGCAAAAATGACCCAACGAAGTAGATATATATATATATGATATAGATTGAATAATAGTAAATTTCGCGTTAACGACCGAAAAACAATTTTCTAAGAGTCTAACCAGCTAAATATTTATATAAATAAAATCGGGCGTTAATTATTTATGTCTTGAGGCCCTGCATCATTATTTATTTATTTTATTTATTATATCACAAATAAGTGATGATGCATGGCTACCAGTGAATGTAAGTCGATTTTAATGAAAATTTCTCAAGTACATACGTAAACAATATAAACAATGTACAAATAATTTTGATCAATATTTATTATTTATTTTTATTATTTTATACCACACGTGAGAATTTCTTTTATTGTTCTCCACGCACACAAATTTTAACCAATTACCTATCACATTGATTGATAATCATTAAACCTTATTATTTATTATTTATTTATTTATGATGACACGTCTTAAAAAAAATTATTTTTAATATTTTAATTCCAATTAAAGCTTCAGTTTAAAATTTTTTTTTTCCTCTTTCTTCATCTCCCCCCTCCTCTCTCTCTTTCAAGGTTCATTTGTTTATTGCTTTAATAAATAAATAAATAAATAAATAATCCAACTTGTATATCCACTAAAGTTGGTTTACAAAACAACAAAAGTGTCCTCCCCGCAATTTTTTCATCCATTCATCACCTGCTTACTAAGAGACCGAACCAATAAATCGAATTATAAACAATAATGCATGCAACATAAATAGAAATGGGACAGATCATTAAATTGGTCATCACGATGAGGTGTAACAATATGGCCTAACTATCCAATCCAATGCTGTTCAGGTTTCACAGATTTGACTTAACGCCACGTCAAAATTGTAATTACCATATTAATATGGGCGGATTTAACATATATGGTTTTACAATAACTCACATATATACAAACTCCAAATTTGTTATTATTAAATAAAATAGATTCTTTGCGATGAAGATATACATGATAATGTTCTTGAAAATAACTTGATTTACCTATAATTTTCAAATTTGGTTGGTGCCAACCACCCACCAATTTCCACGGATGAATTGCAGGTAACAAAATTTTTACAGCATTTTAGTTTTAATATTAATATGTATGCGCCAATTTTGTCGTAGTACGAATTTATTGCTTACACGTATGTAATTTTCAATAGTGAATACTCTGTGTATTGTAGCTAGGGCGCAAAAATATTACAGAAATTTTCCGAAAGCAGGTTTTTTTGGAACGCACGATTTTTTCTGAAATGTTTAGGTGATCGACGTCGGACTTTTATTATTATTAATAAAATTAGCCATAAACCTTGATTTTACCCTTTTTGGTTCAACAACAAAATTTTTATAAATAAAAAGTTAACCAATAAGTTTTATTGTTAATGACTCAGGGTTCAAAATTAAGGGTGCAAACATATTAATTAACACTTGAGAGTTACGACATACCGCATATGACATACGGCAAGTGCCATAGGATCGCCAATAATGGTTACATAAATTATTTTTTGATTTACCTAACTCGGATTAGCATTACTATAAATAGTTGCGCGTACAGTTCACACTCTCTATGGTTGGCTCTGTCTAAAGACCACCTATTGCTGCGCCACTCAATTAAATTTCAAAAAATATCGATTTCGTTATTTGTTCAAAAATGCATTTTTTTAAAAAAACATTTCCCTTATTGTCAAATTTACATAATGTCGTGAACTAGTATAAATTTAGTAATGATCCTAGTGCTAAATTCCTCATGGACATAGTAAAATACATGTACTAAAAAAGAATAGAACTCTACAACAAATTTTTTTTTAAATAGAGGGACCTGTCTTAACAACTAATGAAGCTATTTTTTTAAAAGTAGGAAAGAAAACAACTTCTATACTTTTAAAATTTCAGGAGGTCTTTAGACCAAGACAACTATATAGCGGATTGGTATTAGAAAAAATATTAATATCTGTTAAGGACTCCGGAAACTTATATTAGATGTTCCTGGCTAACGAAATTCTGGATTGACCAATAATATTACAAGTAAAACAATTACAAAATTTGCCCAATTTGGTAGAAATTTGTTATATCACGAACGTGATGACCAACTGTGGCTGACTCGGTCTAAAGACATCCTGTTGCTGCGCCACGCGCTCAAATTTCAAACAATTGCGATTTCAAAAATGCAATAAAATTTTAAAAAAGGGTTTTCACGTGATTTTGGCTAAAAAATTATTTTCTTACTGCCAAATTTAGATATGATGGTCGATTATTAGTCTAAATTTAGTAACGATGGTCAAAACTAGTATAAATTTAGCAATGATCCTAGTGCTCAAATTTCTCATGAGCTTAGTAAAGTACATGTTTTAAAAAAGAATAAAACTCTACAACAAATGATTTTTTTGAGAAAATCTCTTTATTACATTAAAACTAAATACATATTCTATCTACTAATAGAACTATTTTTTCAAAAGATAGGACAGAAAATGACTTCTATACTTTTAAAATTTTGCCCAAAATTTAGGAGGTCTTTAGACCGAGCCAACTATATGATTATTTGAATTTATATTGTGCTACATTAAATTTCAATTGTTTTAAAGTACAGTCGTAACTCGTTTATATCCCCACTTATTTATATCCCATCTTTAGTTGTATCCCCAATATGTGCTGGAATAAATTTCCCTATTACTATTGTAAAATAATATAAATATACCTTGTTTGTATCTCATTAGTTATATCCCTATCCCCACATTTTCAAAATTTCTTATATTAAATCCAAAATGTTCACATTTATATCCCAATTCAACCACAATTTATTGTGCAACATAAAATAAATTTTCTGCATTTCCAAAAAAGTTTTTAGAACAAAGTGATTTTGCTACTAGGGAAGATATTGGATAATATAATAAAACGTTTAAATGTGTCAACAGATAGAAAAAACATCAATCTCCAATTACTGGATTTTATTAATAAATTTTCAATAAATTATCACATGATGGATTTTAGTTATATCCCATAAACCTCTCAAAAAAAAGGGGGATATAAATGAGGTATGACTGTACTGAGAATGCAGAAAACACACAATAGGTAAAACTGTTTTTTTAAGTGACAATTTCAAAAAATTATCCCTTAAATGGTTAAACAGCTATTGATAGTAGAGTTGCCTTCTAAAACTCACGAGTTAGAATTATTTGAAATTAAACCCATTCTAAACTAGTTTAGAAAATGAGCCTAAATTCCTAAACTGTTTTCAAAACTCCTAAATTGTTTCGAAACTCCTAAACTGTTTCAAAACTCCTAAAAATCCCAAACCAAACAAATATTCTTAATCTTTATTTTTTATTTTTGCTTATTGTTATTATCACTCATTATTTAATAAAGTTTTTTAAAAATAATAATTTTTTACATAATTTTGGGAATTGCATCAAAATCAAATACTTCTGGACACCACAAGTCACAAAAGCCTTTAAAAATTGAATGATCAATAATTCCTGCACATTTTTTAATAATATCTCATATTTATCCCAAAAATTAGCAAATGGTCATTTATTGCTTTATATGCTGCACTTTCTAAGGATTCACTTACACTATCTCTTTCTGCAACATTTTTTGATATATTGTGCTAAATGGACTTACAACTCCATTACTCCATTTACAATTACATGTTTTGCATTTGGCTCCAAAATGTCCTGAATGTTTCGAAGGATAACATTCAAAATGTTGCCAAACTGCATTTTTTGAACTATTTATATCTATATCAATATTGTGATTAAAAAAAATTTATATATATTTTTAAGAAAAAGAAAATTATATTAGAACAAATAAAAAGATTATTATATTTTTATTGATTTAAACTAAACCAATGATTTAATTAATTAATTAATTGTCAGGACAATAATATCAAATAAAATGAATTTTTGATAAAAACGTTGGTCACTTGAAGAGAAAATGATTTTGATCACGGAAAATTAAATCGGAAATGATT